CGCTCGGGGGGTGGTCCCTGAGCGCTGCATCTATGGGGGGCCATGGCGCAGGGCACAGCAGGCGTGGCACTCTCTCGCCACGAGAGGGGTCGCGCAAGGGGTGGCCCCTGAGCGCGGAGGGAGAGTTTCAAGCAATGGTGCGTCGGATACTCTAAATTTCGCCGTAAAAGGGAGGGGGTCACAACCCTCACGGACGGGCAATTCCAGACCCCCCCAAACAAGCCATGAAGGGCGGTTTTTTGCCCAGACCCACTGGAACCCTCCAAGACAGCTCAAATCTGACCCCATCCCAAATCAGACCACCCCCCTTTTATTTTGAAATCTGGAGTAACAAGCAAGGAAACATGTGCGACGAGGGTTCAGAACGCAGGATTGCGCATAGGTGAAAACAAGATGAGCGAACACATAAGACTTAGACTAAGCATGTGGGGGTCCTCGGTAACTTCGTCTGGTCATGTCGGAGGTCCTCTTGGTGCTCTCTGGGGCCCTGTTGGTTGCATCTTGGCCTGTCTGCAGGCCATAGCCTGCCGCCTTGGGGCCATCTTGGCGCGTCTTCCAGACATCATTGGGCCATCTGGGTTACCTTGGTTGCCTGCCTGGGCCGTCTTGGAAGCTCGGGACGCGTACGCACATTTACGTCGCGGCGCGGCAGAGGCAATCCGCTCGCGCGTCCGAGCGAGACCGGGACACGGAGTCGCGAATTGAACCCGCGGCTGCCTGAGCTCCAGGGGGATGGAGCTGGCGCGCGAGGTCAGGATGCGGCCCACGACGAGCGTGGAGGTCGCCCGCATCATCGAGGAATCGGGCGGGCCCAGCGGCGTCGACGGCGACGGACTCGTCAACCAGGAGCAGTGGCGCAGGCTCGTGCGCGGCCTCCACGGGCTGCTGGGCCGCCGGCAGCTCTTGCCCGTGCCCCGCAGCTGGCTGGCAGGGGACGCCCCGGCTGCGCCGGGCGGGGCGGCCGCAGGACCCCCGGGCCGCCGCCCGCCGAAGCTCCGGCGCAGCGGCAGGTGCGGCCAGCCCGCCCCCCGAGGGGCCTCCGGGAGGAGGGGGGGCACCAAGCGGCACGAGCCCCAGGGGCCCCGAGCCAGCGCGGCCGCTCCAGGTGCCCACCGCCGCGCCCGCGGCCGGCGGCCCGCAGACCGCCCTCTCCAGAGCTCGCGGCGCGGCAGCTGCGGCGGGAGCTCCTCGGCGGCGCCCCCGGCTCTGCCGCGGAGGCGTGCGCCGCGGAGGCACCGGCCGCCGGGTCCCCCGGGAGGGCGCCGGCGCGGGCACAACAGAGGGCGAGGAGCCGCCGCAGCACGGTCGTCGCCGGTCCCGGCGGAGGCGTCGACGGGGCCAGGTCCCCCGCGGGCGCGGGCGGCGCTTCCGAGGCGGCTCGGGCTCCAGCGTTTTCTGCGAGATGATCTGTTCGGCGCCACACGGTGAGCAAGGACAGCAGCGGAGGCCATGTCGACATGCCACTGGTGGGCAGACGCAACGGTGGGAACTGCGGCGACGTGGTGACGACCCTGGATAGCCTGAAGGAGCACAGGGACAAGCAGCCCCGAACGACCGTGGAGGAATTGCGGGAAATGCTCAAGGGCACTGACGGCCATCTCCACAAGGACGTCGAAGTGGGCACTTTCGTCGACCTCTTCGACACCGTCAGTGTGATAGACGTCGGCCGCGCCCACGCAAAGGCCGCCCTTTCCACACGGGCGCGCTCGGTTACACGGTCGACATGACCAATGCGAGGATGCGGCATTTGCGTGGCCTGCTCGTGCACAACGCCAGCCTCTCTGGGCCCCTCTTGGGGTTCTACTGGACTGGAGCACCCCTCGGCCGTCTTGGGGGTTTCTTGAGCGGTCTGAGCGTTTTGGATTAATATTTCGGCGGTTCGTGACTTTCTTGGACCTCCGAACGCGTTCGACCCGTCCCCGGGGGACCCCCCCCTCCAAATCGACGAGACTGGGTTCCCGGGGGAGCGGTTGGGGGAGGGGGAGGAATCTCACACGCCGATGAGCCCCAAGGGGTCGGCGGATTTTGCGCGGCATGTGAGAACACAGCAAGGACGAGCTCCAGTGCTCCTTCTCCTCGCAGGACATGGACAGGATGTGTTCCATCCTCAACGACGACGACGGTGCCGCAGAGCAGGAGCAGAAGCGGCAGGAGCTGAGTCGGCAGCTGGTACACTGTGGTTTGACCCTACGGGGCTTCATGGTATATTGCTGCTGCGGGGAGATCATTGACCTCACTTCCAAGGACACAAAGTCTGAGGACCTCGCGAGTCTGTACCTGCGGGTGCACAAAGGTCGCGGAGCTTCTGGAGGCGCACGCGAGGAGGCGGCGCTGGCCGGCCCAAGGGTGCTGGCGAGGCACGAGCAGGGGTTCGTCGGCCGGACCGAGCTGAGGGTCCTTCTGAGCGAGCTGTGGGCCCTGAAGCCGCTCGCCAGCAAGTACGCCGGGCCGTTCGACCTCATCGCGCAGATGCTCCCTCGGCAGGCGGCCTCCGCGGTCGCCGCCCCGCCCATCCACGGGCACCGGAGCAAGAAAGCCGCCGAGCGTTCGAGGGTGCGCTCTTCGACCGCCACGGGCGCGTGAGTGGCGACAGGCTTGCGGCTCCATCCTGTGTCGATCTCCTGCACCTCTCTGTCTCATTGTCCAGCTTTTCACGGTGCTCTGGCCCTGAGGGGTACGAGGGCCATGATAGCTGCGCCTTCCCTGCGCGCAGATGCCTCGGGCTGGCCGCGCGCAGTTCTCAGGAGACGCCCCCCTTTCACTCGCGCTCTGTCGATGTGGTGTTGAGCATTCGGCGAGCGACGAGCGCAAACAGCGTTCTCGCACGAGGTTGGCCAGCGATCCGACGCGGGCCGTCACTGAGGCCTGTGCGTCCCATCGTCAAGTTGACTCCCCTGTACCCAATTTCACCCGCGTTTTTGCCGCAACGGATTGTTAACTAATACGCCGCGTGCGAGATGTTCGTTTCTTCGTGTTTTCCAGGCGTTCGCCTGGTCCAGCTTCTCAAGTACCCGAACAAGCGAAGCTGTGCACGTGCGAGCTGGATACGCAAGGTGATGTAGGAAAGATGTATTGACAGGTCTGGAGCCGAGGATGTAGTACACGGGCGAGGGAAACCAGTACTCACTGTCCATCACTGTCCACCTCCTGATCCTGCGCCCTCCCCCAGGAGCACGCAGCTGAATTGTAAGCAAACAAACAATCATTAGCCTGGCGAAGGACTCAACCATATGCACTCGTGAGTACCGCAGCTGCAGGTATCGTCTTCAGTGGAGCTCCCTATGGGGCCACGAAACGCTGTACTGGGTGGGGGAGACGCATGCGAGCTTTGCAACTGGGGCCTTCGGTGGAGCTCCCTATGTGCCACAAAACGCTGTACTGGGTAGGGGGACGAATGCGGGCGGTAGCACTGAGGCCGTCGGTGGAGCTCCCTATGGGGCCACGAAACGTTGTATCGGGTGAGAGAAGGGCATGCTGACGGTAGCGCTGGGGCCTTCGGTGGAGCCCCCTTGTGGGGTCACGAAACGCTGTATTGGGTGGGGTGGACGCATGCGGGCGGTAGCAGTGAGGCCGTCAGTGGAGCTCCATATGGGGCCACGGAGCGCTGTACTGGGTGGTGGGGACGCATGGAGGCGGTAGCAGTGGGACCTTCTGTGGAGCTCCCTATGGGGCCACGAAACGTTTTACTGGGTGGTGGGGACGCATGCGGGCGGTAGCAGTGGGATTCTCGGTGGAGCTCCCTAGGGTCCACGAAACGCTGCACTGGGTGGTGGGGACGCATGCGGGCGGTAGCAGTGGGATTTTCGGTGGAACTCCCTAGGGGCCACGAAACGCTGCACTGGGTGGTGAGGACGCATGCGGGCGGTAGCAGTGAGGCCTTCGGTGGAGCTCCTTCTGGGGTCACGAAACGCTGGGTTGGGTGGTGGGGACGCCTGCGGGCGGTAGCACTGGGACCTTCGGTGGAGTTCCCTCTTGGGCCATGGAACGTGTGAGGGGTATGCCAAAATGGCTGGATGGTGCGGGGGGCAGAGGCAGGGATGGGAGGAGGGAGGGGGGCAGCGGGAGGAAGGAAAGAGATGCGGGGCGCTGTCTCTTCAAAACGAAGACCCAACACCACAGGACGGCCGGGAAGTATTACCAACATTCGTTCTACTCGCTTCCCTTGTGCGCATTCACTGTTCGATCATTCACTATGGTTCAGATGTGTGGAACAAGAAACAAAGACAACTTGACAACGACGAGACACTTCCACGCGTAAACATGCGCAGAGGAAACAAATTGACGGAGTCTCATGAGGACAGCATCTGCAGGCACAGGCGGAAGCAGGCAGGCAGGCAGGCAGAAAGGAAGACGGGAGCGGTGGACGAAGAAGTAGTCGGGCTCTGCGTGCGGGGTAAGATCACCGGCTGCCCACCAGGGGGTTCATCGATGACGCGTTCCTGTATGATGCGATCAAAAGCTATAGTTTTGGCTCAGCTGTTCGACAACAGAGCTGAACAGTCGCTTGTAGAGGGCCTGCATATCGGAAGACAAAGTGGATCCGATGTTTCGTTTCGCGGTTGCGACATCACTCGCATCTTCCGTGATCTGCAGCGAGGACTCTGGTTGGGAATTGCTCGCCACTAGTTCGGGCGAGGAGGTGCCGCGCACGTGCTACAAAAACTCTGGCTTGACAAGTCTTCCAGAATGGGCGCATGGCTCCTACATCATCAGTGGTCCCGCCAAGTTCGAGATGGGCGGTATCAAATTTCAGGGACTCTTCGACGGATATGGCCGAGTCAACCGGTTCGAACTCCGCGAGGGGGAGGCATGCTACACCTCCGCATGGCTGAACACGTCATACTATCTGGCAGCAGAAAAACTTGGCGAGATCGGTCCAGGTGTGCTTTTTGAAGGGACTACGCCAGACAGACCCGACTGTCAGAAACCATTTTGCGACTTGGAAGCCCCAATGGATAACAATTGGATAAACCTCTTGCCAGTGGCAAGTGGGGGCCTCCTCATAAATGATTCCTGAGGCTGATGGCACAACCGCTGACTCCTTTGTTGTTTGCTGGGAGGGCCATGTAGTCGTCGATTGAGATGTATGCGGCGTTTCTTGAGGAATGTGGATAGCATCAGGGGGGCAGAAACAGGAGGACGAGGAGGACGACGACGATGACAACAACGACGGCGAGTCGCGAAAAAGAGGAGGACGACGAGGACGACGAAGGCGAGGACGAGGACGAGGTCGATAAGGAGGAGACGGAAAGGGAGAGAAAGAGAGAGAGAGAGAGAGAAAAAAAAAAAAAAAAAAAAGGAGAGCTAGGGAAAAAAAGAGTGAGAGACAGACACTGGAACAAGAGAGACAGAAAGAGAGCTACATACACATGTCTACATATACATAGACATGTACATCGAAATACATTAAATTATACATACATGCATGCATGTATGCATGCGTGCATACATACATACATACATACATACATACATACATACATACAATCAAACGTACAAACATACATACATACATGCACATATACCTACATACATGCATACACACATACATACAAACATGCATATATACATACATACATACATACATACATACATACATACATACATACATACATACATACATACATACATACATACATACATTCATGCATACATTCATACACACACATACATACATACATACATACATACATAGATACATACATACATACATATATACATACACATACATACATACATACATACATACATACATGCATACATACACACATACACACATACACACATACACACATACACATGTACATACATGCATACATGCATACGTGTATACATCTATACATAGATACATACATACATTTACACATACACACATATATATACATACATACATACATACATACATACATACATACATACATACATACATACATACATACATACATACATACATACATACATAGATACATACATGCATACATGCATACATGCATACATGCATACATGCATACATGCATACATGCATACATGCATACATACATATAGAGAGAGGGGGGAAACTAAAGAGAGAGAGGGGGAAGAGAGAGAGAGAGAGAGAGCGGGGCGTGCAGGTGAGCAGCGGGAGCGCTGGGGTAGGGGGGCCGCGGTGTCCCATATCTCGTGTTGCTGCGTCTGGTGCCGAGGGTCCGGCTCCCCCATGGGGGGGAAGGGCCGCTGGCCGCCCGCTCCCGTGCCGCTGGCGGCCAGGGGCAGTGACGGCAGCCACCGCTGTCTCGCCGCAGTGGGTCGCGAGGCTGCTGCGGCGGAGGCGGGCGCACGAACCCGCAGGAAGGAGGACGATGTGGCAGGGGCCGCGGCAGCCTGCTGCTCGCCTGTGCCAGCCGTTGATGGGGTCTCGAAGCTGGGTGGGGTCTCTCACACCTGGGTCTCAGTGCAGCGGCCCGCTGTCATCTGGGAAGGTGGCCGCACAGGCCGGCGGCAGCGCTGGAGAGCCTCGCGTGGAGGCGCACGAGCGACTGTCGCGAGGACCCGCTGGGAGTCCAGGCCAGCAGCCGGAGAGGGCGACTTCTCGCACGTGTGCTTTCCGCCGAGCGGTGTCGGCGTCCTCCCCGCCACGGCCGCTCGCGGAGGCACCGCCGCCGCCGTCGCCGAGGGGCGCGACAGCAGCTTCAGGGGGCGGGGTATCGGGCGGGCCGTGGGAGTTGAGCGCAGGTGCTTCGGGAGTGCCTCGTCCTCTTTCGCCTTCCTCCTCTCTTCGCCCTCCTCCCTCCTGTCTCTCTCGCCCTGTCGCCTCGAGCGCATGCGGCGACGGCGCGGTGGAAGGCTGGCGGTGCGGGGGAGGGGGGGCGCCCGGGGCCCGTGCGAGGAGCCGGTGCTCCACCGTCGCGTCGCGGGCGTGTGGGCGTCCACGGGCGGGGCACGGCACCCACGCGTTGGTGACGCACTCTCGCCGCAGGGGGGCGGAGGCAGAAGAGCGAGGAGGCGGGGCGGCCGTGGGCAGCTCGGCGCCGTCGCGGGCGCTGCCATCGGTGCCGCCGTCGGCGCCGTCGCCGTCTGCCGCGCTGAGCCGCAGAAGGCGGCCCGCTCTCCCCTGGGCGAGCGAGGGCGGCGCTCGCTGCGGGGCGGTGGCGCCCGCAGCAAGGAGGTCTGCAGCAGGCGTGCCGCGGGTGCGGCGCCGCAGCACGGGGTCGTGGCGTGAGGCCCCCCTGCGGAGGGGCCGGCGCCCCTTGGCAGGGGCCGCTGGTTCCCGCGCTTTTGGCGGCAGGGGCGGCGGGAAGCTCTTGGCGGTCGGGAGGTGCGTCGTCGGTGCTGCCGTGGGCGCCGTCGTGAGGGCGCCGTCGTGAGGGCGCCGTCGTGAGGGCTGCAGTTTTGGCCGTCGGCGATGCTGCAACCGGTGCCGTTGTCGGCGCCTTTGATGGGGCAGTTGCTGCCGTCGTCTGTGCTGCAGTCGGGGCCGTCGTCGGTCATGCCGTGAGCGCATTCGTCGGGGCTGGACTCGGCGCCGTCGCCGTCGGCCCCGCTTGGGAAACAGAAACCAACGAATGCAGGACAGAGGCCGTTGGCGCCGCAGGACTGCCAGCGTCGCTCGCGGCGCCCACGACGCTCGGGGCCGACAGGGATGGCCACGAGCGCGATAGGTGGTCGCCCTCGCCCAGGCCCGCTGGGAGCAGGCCCCTGCCCGACAGGCGCCCCAGGGTGCGGCACCAGGCGCGGGCGAGGCCTGGCCCAGCTGCTGCGACTCGCCCCGTGGCGGGGGCCGCGCGCCCGACGGCCGCCCTTGGCGCCCGCGGGCGGGGCAGTGAGGCCAGCGGCCCGCGCCTCTCCGCGCGCAGGGGCGTGCCGGCCCCGGCCAGCAGCGTCGCCGCCGCGCTGGCGCGCAGGCCGTGCGGCGCGGGCGGTGGCCGCTCCAGGAGCGTGCCGCGCGGCGCTTCCCGCCTCGAGCGCCTCGAGGACCTCCTTGGGCTCCTCCTCCTCCTCCTCCTCCTCCTCCTCCTCCTCCTCCTCCTCCTCCTCCTCCTCCTCCTCCTCCTCCTCCTCCTCCTCCTCCTGGCGGAAGGCGATGAGCTCCTCGCCCACTGGGGAGGTGTGGGCCGATCGGGTCGGCCAGGACCCAGCGGGCGTGACGGGCTTCGTGGAGCGCCGGGGCGGCAGAGGCGATGAGCTCCTGGCCCACCGTGGGGAGGTGTGGGCCGATCTCGTCGACCAGGACCCAGTGGGCGGGACGGGCTTCGTGCGCGAGCCCAGGATGGCCGCTCGCGTCGCGCCACCACTGCAGGGCGCCGCCGCCGCGGGAGCCCGCGCGCACGCGCGCGCACACTTTGCGCGCGCGCGCTCGCGGCCGCCCAGGCAGCGCCGCAAGGCGAAGTGCGCCATGCCGAGCCGCTGGCGAAGGCGCGTGCCTGAGGGCCTGCCGTGCGCCGGGGTCGCTGGAGCCAAAATGGCGCTATTTGCCAAAAATACGATAACGGCCCATACATAGCTAGATATGCATGTATGTATGTATACACACACATACCACCTACCTACATACTTACACCCCCAACATACATACATACATGCATGCATGCATGCATACATTCATACATACATGCATGCATACATGCATACATGCATACATGTATACATGCATACATGCATACATGCATACATGCGTACATGCGTACATGCGTACATGCGTAAGCATGTATGCATACATATACATACAAATATACATACAGACAGACATACATACAAGGATGCATATATACATGCATACATACATGCATATGTACCTGCATACGTATAGTCATACATGCATACCTTCATAAATGCATACATGTATACATACAGACATACATGCATTCATACGTGCACACATACATTCATGCATACATACATGCATGCATACATGCACACAGACCTGCACACATATCTACAATGTACATACATGCATGCATGCATGCATACATGCATGCATACATACACGCACGCATGCATACATGCATACGTACATAGACGCATGCATACACACATGCCTACATGTATGTGTAGATGCATCCAAGCATACACACATACATACAGCTATACGTACGCGCATACATACACACATGCATGCATGCATATACATATGTATGTATCTATGTATGTATACACGTATGTAAGCACATGTATACATACATGCATGCATACATTCACGCATGTATGCATACATACACATATTTATAAACACTTATTTATACGCGCATACAGACTTACATGCATGCATGCAAACGCATACACACATACAGACATGTATACAAACATGCATTCATGAGTGCGTGCATACATGAATGCATGTACAATGACAAACGTACATAACTATGTATACAGATGCATTGATTTGCAAACGTCCAGACTATGTATATGTTTGCAATAAAAACCAAATATGAATATATATATATGTATATAATGTGTGTATACTTATATACATATAACTATATTCATACACATGTATAAGTGTACATCATGTCCAGCTAGCCATACCAATGTGTCGGATTGATATGGTGCGTCGCACCATGCATCGTGGACCGTCAGTTTCGGTCTGCGGGCGGAGTGAGACAGGTGAATCAGGAAAAACAGCGATAATTCGTTGTTGCTGTGTTCGTTGCCGTCGTTATATGTATTGACTCCTCCTCCTTCCCAAATACGCTCGCTTCCCCACTCTCGCCTTACCCTGCGAGCGCCCCCCCTTCCGCTGCAGTTTTTCCCCAACCCTCTTGCGTTTGGTTCTGAATAGAGCATTGTGGTCGCGTCTCCCGTCCTCCCCACCTCCTCCTCTCCTGCCTCCCGTCTCTCTCTTGCCTCTGCCTCTCTCGTGAGCTCTTGGGAGGAGGACCTGAGTGAAATTGTCGCCACGTTCGTGGGCTCCTCGGGGGTCCGGCGGAGTGGAGTTGTACGGGGACCCAGTTGAGACTTCGCGGCTCCCTGGGGGGCTGCGAAGAGTGAAATTGTCGCCACTTGCGTGGGATCCTGGGAGGTCCAGCAGAGTGGAGCTGTACGGGGACCCAGTTGAGACCTCGCGGCTCCCTGGGGGGGCTACGAAGTGCGAAATATTGTCGCATTTTTATGTGGGCTCCTGGAAGGTCCAGCGGAGTGGAGATGTATGGGGACCCAACTGGGACCTCGCGGCTCCTTGGGGGGGATGCGAACTGTGAAACCGTCGCCACGTCGTGGGCTCTTGCGAGGCAGGGCGGAGTGGGGTGTCACGCACACCTCGCCGAGACCTCGCGGCTCCTTGGGGGGCTGCGAAGTGTGAAATTGTCGCCACGTTCGTGGACTCCTGAGAGCCCAGCGGAGTGGGGTGCCACGCACACCTTGCCGAGACCTCGTGGCTCCCTGGGCGGGGTGGGAAGTGCGCAACTGCCGACACTTCCGGTGGGCTCTTGGGAGGTCCAACGGAGTGGAGGTGTACGCAGACCCAGCCGTTATTCCCGCACTCCCGCTGCCGTTTTCTTCTGATTTCACTTCAGGGTGCTCGTGCGCACTGGGGGTCATTCAGTCTGTTCGTTTGTAGTGAGCGGTCCTGGGAATAGACGTCATCTGTTTAGAAAGGGTTGGCTACGTCATTTTGCGGAGGCTCGTCCTTGGAAAGTCTAGTGGGGGCCTCACGAAACCTTTCAGTAGCTTCTAGAGGGCTTCTGGAGGCTTCCCGGACGCATTTTGGGGGCCTCTGGGGGCTAACTCGGGCCACCTTGTTGCGAATCCCGTGGGCGCTTTGAGGCCGTCTTGCGCCGTCATGCAGCTCTCTTCGGGCCATCCGGGGCCCTGTTGGGCCGCCTTTGGGCTCTCCTGGATTGTCTGCAAGCCCTTTCGGGTCGTTCTGGGACGATCTCCGAAGGCTCTTGAGCGGCTTCAGACGCCTGGAAGATCAAAGAAAAGAGTTCAAACAATCAGGCCTACACAGAAAAAAAAATGAAATCTTTGAATTTTGCGTTTGGAGGGCCTCTTGGGGGTGTTCTTTGGGCCGTCTCCGGGCGCCTGGTGGGTGTCTGAGGCCGCTCGGGGCTCTCACGGGGCCGTTTGGCCATCTGCATGACCTCTTTGAGCCCGCTGGCGACGTGGGCCTGGCGGGGACGTCCAGGAGACCCGGAAGTCCTGGCCGGGACCCTCTGCAAGGGAGTCCAGGAGAGTCCTCTGGGCCAGGGATTCGGGGGGTCGGGCTCGGGGGGGGGCAGGCTCTCCCCTACTCTGCAAACTATAGGAACAGGAGTATGCTTAGATGTGCATACATACATACATATCTAGAAAGAGAGAGAGAGAGAGAGAGAAAGAAAGAAAGAAAGAAAGAAAAAAAATAATAAACATAAAAAAGAGAGAGAGGGAGAGGGAGAAGGGAGAGGGAGAGAGAGAGAGAAGGACAGAAAGCAAGAAAGAAAGAGAGAGAGAGAGAGAGAAAACAAAAAACAAAACCGAAAAACGAGAGAAAGAGAGCGAGAGAGAGAGAGGGGAAACAAAAAAACAGTAAGCAAAAAAAAAGTAGAGAGAGAAAGAAAGAAAGGAAAGAAATAGCACGAGAAAGGTAGATGGGGAGGGGGACAGGAGCGTTGTTCAAGTACTCTTGGGGTGTCTTTGGACCCTCTTCGGGCCCTCTCGGGCTGTCTAGGGGCTCTGCTGGGCCCTTTAGGGCCGTACCTGGTGCTTCCTGAAAGCGTCTTGGGTTGTTTGAGGGCGTTTTGGAATCCTTTGGGAGTTTTGATGGCCGTCTTTACGCGCAATCTGGGACCAGCTTGGTGGTCGACTCTCTTGGCTCTCCTCGGACCGTCTTGGGACGTGTTTGGGACACTCTTGGATCCTTCGGGGTCCATCTCAAGCATTAATGAAGCAATCATGTGCCCCACAGCTTGGCAAACCAAAACATGAACAACACCCGATGTTTCATGTTCGTAGTCATGCTTTGTAAGTACATAGCTGTGCTGGCGCGTTGTCGCTACACTACAGTTTGCACATGTGTCCTCGCATACATTCGCACATGCCGTTGATGTTGCATTTACCGCTGGTCTGTTTCGCCGCCAGGATCGCATCCCGTGTTTCACATTCGAAGCTTCCTGGCACCCCCTCTGCACTGCCCGCGCGGCTGCACGACGGCAGGCCGATTGTCCGAGCGGTCTCTCTTGGAGCCTCTCGTGCGGGGCCTCTTGGATCGTCTTGGAGGCCCCTTGTTTTGTCCTGGCAGCCTTCCAGGACCTTCCTTGGCCGGCCGGGCAGCATCTTGCCGCTCTCTTGTGCCGCCGTGCGGGCCCGGGGCTCCCAAAGCACCCGCCGGGCCCTCCGGGGGGCCCGCTTCCCGCCCCGAAGACTGAGGCCCCGCGGATGGAGTTTGGGAGAGCGGCAGGCACCTCCCACGCTGGTACCCGGTAACCAAGGGGTCCGCGAGTTCTCCGCAGATGTTGAACCTCGATCTCGAGACTCTTGCAGTCTCTGGCGAGCACGAGTGGGAGGATGGCGCGGGCAGGAGTCCGTCCTGGATGCCACAGTACCACACCGCCACAATGGGCTCTGCACATCCGGTGCGGCGGCCAAAGACCGAGGCCACGCATGTGGCCATCATGTTGTCGATGTCACTGATGCCGCTAGAGCCGAACTACATCTCCATCTACTCGATCGACACGACGAAGGGCAAGAGACGCGATTTGATTGCAAACGTCGTGGTCAAGGGGCTTCAATATTTTCACAGCTACGGGGTCTCAGAGCACTACGTCGTTTTGCCTTGCAATCTGAGGATGACAGCGAGGCTCGAAGATATTGTGGGCCGACCCTACATGATGGACAATTTTGAGGAAGGTTGGGATGGGATCTATTTAGTTGACCTTGCAGGGCACGTCCAGAAGTTCGAGACCGAAAAGTTTTTTCATGTCCACGTCGCGAACACTTTCGAGAATGAGACAGGTGTGGTGATGGATGTCGGGGCCTTCACAGAAGTACCGTTCAGTAAAGGTCCACAGTTAGATATTGCCCAGTTCAACAACAAGACGGCCCGCGACGGTACCCCACGATCAAATGGGGAGCTTCGCCGCTACGTCTTTCATCTTGAAGGGGAAAAGAAGGGCCAGGTCACTTGGCAGGCTGTTTCGGCACCTGATCGGCTCGTCGACTTTTTCAAGATTAATGACAAGTGGAATGGGTTGCCATACTGCTACGTCTATTCGGATGAGTGGTTCCACGACGGAGAGGCTTATGCCAGCATGGCCATCGTCAAGCAGAACATGTGCACCGGTGAGAGGACTTACTGGAAGGCCAAGGACAATTACCCAGGTGAACCGTTCTTCATACCAGGCCCAGGTCGTGCGGAGGACGACGGCCTCGTTATTTTTGTCGTCCTCGACGGGCCGAAAGGGATTTCAAAGTTAGTGGTGCTAGACGGTAAGACATTTAACGAAGTCGCCACCATCGAGTTGCCCCAGCACATTCCTTTTACCGCACATGGACAGTTTGTCCAAGCAATTGCAGCCAAGGCTACCAAGGCTATGGAGGGAGGCAAGTGGCCGGAAGACATTGCTTACCTTGTTTGAGTATCTGAGATGTTTCATTATTGGTGCTTGGTCGATCGTTTCCCCCTGGAAGCGCATAGAACGTATGCCTCCGCACATGAAGTGAGACACCAAATATTATAATCACGGGTATTGTACTCAAGAGGTTGACGCCACTCCGCCGACCCCACACAAACGAAGGGATATGGGCTGTTCTTCGATGGGTCGCAGCGATTGCCGGAATTGGGTAGAGCGGAGGAGAACGACAAATATCGACAAGATGCTCAGGAGTAGCGGGGAGGGAGGCTCGGGGGAGAGCGGGTCAGAGAGGACGAGGTGGAAGAGCTCGACACGCGGGTGGCCGAACACACGGGCCCATCTTGGGGCTTGTTGGGGCGGTGTCGGGGCCATCTCAGGTTCTCTTGGCGCCTTTTGGGGAACCTCTCGGGATTATTTGATCCGTAAGGAATCCGCCGCTTGCCGCGGGCCACCTCTCGGAGAATGGGGCATGCAAGAGCGATGTTGTGAGGCCTGGGCGCCATCGTGAAGCAGCGTCGGAACTCCGAACGGGGGCCACTGGAGATATGAGCGCGCCAACAGCCGCCAGAGACCTGAGGAATATCGCAGATGTTGGCCTCTTGGGCCCCTCTTGAGGGTGTTCTTGGAGCACTCTTGGGGCCTCTTGGAAGCCGCTTGGGCCGTCTCGGAAGCCAATTGCATTGTCTTGGAGGCCTTTTGTGAAGGGTTGTGGCCTCGAAGGCACGAATACTGCGTACTTTGCGAGGTTTTATGATTCAGAATATTTACTCGGAGACCCGAATAGGGTGTCATTTACGAGAAGTCATGGTCTCGGGAGCGCAAGAGCAGCGTAATTCACAAGGGATTGTGGCCTCGGGGGCGCGAACACGACGAAATTTTCGAGGGATTATGTTTTCGGAGGCGCGAGTCTCATGTATTTGCATGTGTCCCGGACCCCGCAGAAATTCTGAGCACCCCCCCAGGTGGTGGTAACCGGGGCTCTTTTCGGCCACCCCCTTCGCGCGGATTGCAACAAATTGCAGTAGGATGCAGAAAGCAGGATTACCTCCTCCTCCTCCTCCTCCTCCTCCTCCTCCTCCTCCTCCTCCTCAAATTGGAACCGGAGCAGGGAGGGCCGGCGGATGTTCCTTGGGAGGTTCCCAGGCCGTTTCGGAAGGTCTTTCGGCCGCCAGGTGGCGTCCAGGAGTTGTCCTGGGACGATATTGGGCAGTCTTGGAGTCGCCTCGAAGTATGAGGCCATATTGGGGGCGGGTTGGTCCATCTGTGAGTTGCTGGGGGGGGGGCCCTTCGACTGTCTCGAAGGCCTCTGGAGCCCATTTGGAGTCTTGACGATAAATCGCGGAAGCCCAGGAGAGATTGACGAGTTGGGAGTTTAGGGGACCGTCTGCGGAGCCATATTGGAGCCGATGGCGATTTCTTGGCGCCATATGTTGAGGAAGGGAAAACACACACATACACACACACAGTCAAACGTCGATCCCCAGGAAAATATGAGAAGATATGGGAAATGGGGGGGAGACGAAAACCCAGAAAATACATGGAAATATAGGTATATGTATTTATGTGTGTCCCTGGGCCCCTCCATATGTGCGCCACATTGGAGCCTCTTGGGAGGTAACCCAGGAGCATGCTCAAACAATTCTGGACCTTTCTCGGGGGCAGCTGGAGCCGTTTTTGTGGGGGGCCATGTGGGCTCTGTGGGCCGACCATGTTGGAGGCACGGTTGAGGCCGAGGGTGCGTTGAGGAGCTCGTCGGGGGACTTCCCCCTCCCCCACACCCGCTCTCAGGTGATCGCAACCATGGCTCAAGGGGGCGTGGATTAGCGACGGGTCCCGTTTCCATGGGTCATCGCGGTTTTTTCCGCCGCCGAGCGGGGCGGCACCAGCCGCATTTTGGGGAAGGCGCCTCCCCCGATCCATATGGATTTGGCGACCGCGCGCCAAATCCGTGGATCGCTGATCCGTGTTTGCGCGCCCCCGACCCTCATAGAATGTTGGACTCTCGGGAGGGGTGAGCAGGCGGAGGGGGACAGCCAGACATCTCACACGCTCGGTCCCCCACTGCAAGCGAGGGCCGGCGGATTTGCGGATGCAATTCCGTTTAAGAGCGAGAACCCGCTGAATCTCGCCTGAGGTACCCTACTGTTTCTCTGGTGCTTCACTTTTTTCAAGCGTACCGAGTCGCCCTTGTAGATAGTACAGAAGTTGCCGCGCATAAAAGCAGGCATTGAGTTTGCAGTGGCGCAGCTAAGTTTTTGAATACTGTGGCAGCACGTTCAGATCATGTCGAGGCTCCTTGTGCAACTGGCACATATTTTGACGCGACGATCTTGGCAAATAATTGCATGTCTGTACTTATTCAGGAGAGGCACTCAGGCTTAGAGCCTTCAGAGAAGTAGGTGTTGTCTTACGATTGCGGGATGAGATGACCCGGGGCATAGGGGGGGCAGTCTTGATTCTGATTCCAGAGTTTACCCGGTCTCACATCACCAGTTGCTCCGAAGATATGAAGGGGGTTGGCAGGACCGTGCGTTGTTGGCAACACACCAGGGGCATGGTTCAATGAGGGACAGTATGACCACGAAAGATGTGCAATCAATCCATTCGACTAATATGTGCTATAGATTGAATTGTGTTCCGCAGAAAGCAAGCAGCACTTCACCTGGCCGCAGCTTTGCAACCGATTTAGCGAGTCGATCCGCTCGTTGGATCGACCAGCTGTTCTGCGAGCCACTGCCGTTGCTATTGCCCAGGGCTCTGTTTACCAGTTTGAAATATAGGCCTACCCCTATATTTGGCATCAACCCCTTTCGATGTCGATCTTCAGGATTCCCTCAGGTTATGAGGGCACATCCCTGAGATCGCCATCGCGTTTGGCTCGCCCATCTTAGGGATAGGTACAAGTTCGAATCTGGTTATGTGTGTGGCTAACGGCCGCTAGCCGCTGCCATTGCCAGGAGGGCCGCTGCCAGGCCCAGGACCTCCTGCCAGGCCCCCAGCCGATGCATGGCCCTCGCCTGGCTCTTCTGCCCACGGCGGTGCGTGGGATCGTCGTGCCTTGGCTCCCTCTCCTTGCGCCTGCCCCTGGAGTAGGCAGGAGCAGGAAGGAGGAGGGGGAGGAGGAGGAGGAGGCCGAGGAGGAGGAGGAGGAGGAGAAGGAGGAGGAGAAGGCGGAGGAGGAGGAGGAGGAGGAGGGGAGGAGAAAAAAAAGAGGAGAGAGGAGGAGGCGGAGAGAGGCGGAGGAGGAGGCAAGGAGGAGGAGGAGGAAGAAGGAGGAGGAGGAGGAGGAGGAGACGGAGCAGGAGGAGAGAAGGAGGAGGAGGACGACGACGAGGAGAAGGACGACGAGGAGGATGAAGAGGGGGAGGAGGAGAAAGAGGCGGAGGAGGAGAGGAGGAGGCGGAGGAGGAGGAGGAGGAACAGGTGGAGGAGGAGGAAGAGGAGGAGGAAGAGGAGGAGGAGGGTGGAGGAGGAGGAGGAGGAGGGAGGAGGAGGAGGAGGAGGAGGAGGAGGAGGAGGAGAGGAGGAGGAGGAGGAGGAAAAGGATGAGGGGAGGAGGAGGAGGAGGAGGGTGGCGGAGGAGGAGAGGAGGAAAGATGGAGGGGAGGAGGAGGAGGAGGGTGGAGGAGGAGGAGGAGGAGGAGAAGGAGGAGGAGGGACTAGGAGGAGGAGGGGAGGAGGAGGAGGGGAGGAGGTAGGAGGAGGGGGAGGGGGAGGAGGAGGAGGAGGAGGAGGAGGAGGAGGAGGAGGAGGAGGGGAGGGTGGAGGAGGAGGAGGAGGTGGAGGAGGAGGAGAGGAGGAGGTTGAGGAGAAGGAGGAGGAGGAGGAAGAGGCGGAGGAGGAGGAGGAGGAGCATTGGTGAGGAGGAGGAGGAGGAGGAGGGGAGGAGGGTGGCGGAGGAGGAGGAGGAGGAGGAGGAGGAGGAGGAGGACAGGGCCGATAATCCCCAGTCGCGACCGCGGCGTCTGCTCGCACGCGAGCAGAGGCGCGGGCGCCGTGTCGCGCGCACAGCTGCTGCCGCAAGCCACCCCTGGGGGCCTTCCGAAGCCGCCTGGGAGGGGCGAGATGGAGGAGGATGAGGAGGACGAAGAGGAGGAGGAGGCGGAGGAGGACGAGGAGGAGGAGGATGAGGAGGAGGAGGAGGAGGAGAAGGACGAGGAGGAGGATGAGGAGGAGGACGAGGACGAGGACGAGGATAAGGAGGAGAAGGACGAGGACGAGGACGAGGATAAGGAGGAGGAAAGGGAGGAGGGTGAGGAGGAGGGTAAGGAGGACTGGGAGGAGGAGGAGGAGGAGGAGGAAGAGAACGAGGACGAGGTGGCCAGCCACGACCCTTCCGGAGCGAGGAGGGGGAGGAGGAGGATTAGGAGGAGGAGGAGGAGGAGGAGGAGGAGGAGCGAGGAGGAGGAGGGAGGAGCGAGGAAAAGAGAGAGGAGAGGAGCGAGGAGAAGAAGGATGGCCGTGCTGCCACCGCGAGGCCAGGCGCTCTACTGCCGGGAGGGAGGACTGGGCCGGCTGTTGCGGAGCCCAGCTGGCGTGCCACGCGTGCCCGCCGGCCATACAGCGTCCCCCACGTGATCCCCCTCCTGCTCGTCACCCCTCTCATGAGAGCGGTTCTTTTTCAAGATGGTGATCTCGGTCTGGCGCCGTGCATACGTTATATACATCGCTTTCCGTAGAACTGCCTGGGTCGAGGGCGATGCAGCATCAGTACCCGATCACTGTGGCGTGAAGCGGCATGCGCCCGATATCTCAGCTGTTCGCGGGTGTGCATTGCAAAACACACGGGGCTCTCACCGTGCACGTCCATGGGGCCCTCAGCGTTCCAGAGCAAGTGTTGCCGCAGGCAGAGACATCACTCGTGCTGGCCAAAGCGGAGGGACTTGAGACAGGAGGGGCCAATGCAACATCAGTGGTGCGTGCTCGAGCTACTGTGGTCCCCACCCTTACGGTCGGGAACTTTTGGATAGCGTCTCGCTCCGCCGGTTCTGGCCCACCACGGCTCGGCGTGACACGCTATCCATGTCGCGGTCCCGAGGCGTCAACGCCTCGAGCTTTCCCGAGCCTCCCGCGGAGCGGAGCGGCACGCCATTCGCGCGCGGGGGAGAGCGCGTCGCCGGGTCAGCCGCCGCGGCGCGCTGTCCAAGAGCTCCCGACCGTAAGAGTCGCCCTCCTCGTCTTCATTCGGCAGCGAGCCCAGGGGGGGGAAGTGAGAAGGGGCGGGCTTTCTCAGAAGGCTCGGAAGTCCCCCGGCCTTCGAAGAAGTTTTCTGAGCCTTCCCCGAAGACGCACAGACAGCTGGTCGGAAGGCGCGGGGGCTTCTGAGAAGTCCCGCCGCCTTTGAGGACGCCGTCTCCTTCTCACTTCCCCCCCTCGCTCGCCGCCGATTCATTGGCCTGCTCGTCCGACGAACGTGTCTCGCCCAGCTCGAGCCCCCTCTGCGGGAGGCACCGCCCCTCCCCCCCCCACCCCGCCCCCCGGGCTCCTAGGCCGGGCTGATCCGCGGCTTCGACCCAGCGGCCATCTTGACCATGGGAGGGGAGGGGGGGGCGAGGCGAGGCGATATGCAGAAGCAAAAAAGACAGGGAGGGCAAGGGCAAAGAGGGCAAGAGCGCTGGCAGGGGCGAGGTCGGAGAAGTGAAGGCAGGGCGAAGACGAGGATCAACGAAAAGAAGGGGGAGGAAGAGGACCAGCAGCAAGAAAGAATAGGAGCAAGAAGAGGAGGAGGAGGAGGAGAAGGAGGACGACGACGACGACGAGCAGGAGGTGCGCGCAGAGAAATAGAAAGGAGGAGGTGCAACACAGAGGCGCGGGAGCAGGGGCAGCAGCAGCAGGGAACGAAGAGGAGGAGGAGGTGGAGGGGGAGGGCAGGACGTGTACAGGCCGGGGTGGTGTTGGCACGCTCCAGCTTTGAGCGGCTTGGGCGCCTGAGGCTTGCACCAAGTCCGACCAGCCAGGCGCTTTGTTCTTCCCGTCGGACGAACGTGCAGGTGACGAAGATGGGCACTCGGGGTCCCGAAGAACTCCTATTGAGCGTCCGGGCGGAATCGCCGGAGCTCCTGATAGCCTGTCTTGCGTCCACGGCCGGATAAGAACCCTGCAGGTGCCACAAACGGGAAAAGCTCGTCCAGAGCGTTCGACAGTTTCAGCCGAGTAAGTGCCTAACAGGAAGCTTTCGGATGATGCAAGATGTTTGCATGTTCGGTGCTTGTATGATCGATGCGGGTTGTTTGCGGTGCTATCTGTGCATGGTGATGCAATGCATATGTTGCTAGCTCTATGGTGCAGTTTTTGGGGTACTATGAAGTTTGCGGATATCGCAGTCGTGAATTCCGCTGCCCGAGCAAGTTTCCCGCCGTCTCACCCGCACTTTGTCGGCGCGAGGACCCTTCTCATGTAGGTTCATGGTTCGGGCGCGCATGTTATGATGGTGGTGGCATTAATGACGAGGGCGACGACTTTGAAAATATGGCGATGACCATTACGGTTTTAATGATGACAGTAAAGACGATGACGACGACGAGGGTGACGGTGGTGAAGATGGTGATGATGACGGTGGCAATGATGACGTTGGCGATGATTATGACGATGGTGTTGGTGAGGATGGTGAGTAGTGCCCGCGCGCCGAAAATTTCAAATCTGGATAGAACTTGTCTTGAAAAACCATCGGGAATTCGTATGTGTTGATCATGCTTGCTGCGCAGACCGGTGCTTTGTGGCAGACAGCAGCTGCATTCGAAGCCCACGCGCGGGAACGGGGAGAATAGAGGGCAACTCTGGTGGGCGGCATGGAACCGCCGTTCAATCTGGCTCGGGCATTGCGAAGCTGGGGGGCGGTTGTTGGCGTAGGGCCGCGAAGGGCATTTGAGCCGAGATTGAGAACAAGAGGGAGGAGAGGAAAGGGAAAGAGGGAAGCATCGAGAGATGTAGGGGAAGGAGAGAGAGAGAGAGAGAACAAAAAAAGAAAGGGAAAGAGAAAGAGAACGAGATATAGATAGAGAAAGAGGGTAGACAGAGGCAGGCAGGCAGGCAGGCAGGCAGGCAGGCAGGCAGGCAGACAGACAGACAGACAGACAGATAGACAGAGAGGGTGGGAGGGAGGGAGGGGTAAGGAATGAGAGAGAGATGGAGAGGGAGAGGGAGGGAGGGAGGTGGAGAGAGAGAGAGAGAGAGATGGATAGATATAAGAAGAAAACGACAAACGACAGAGAGATAAGTGACATCAAAAAGAAACAACCAAAATGAGTTAGAGACAGGGATGGGGACAGAGAAAGAGACAAGGGGGAGAGAGAGAGACAGAGGGAGAGGGAGAGGGAGAGAGACAGAGACAGAGACAGAGACAAAGAGAGAGAGAGGCAGAGACAGAGGCAGAGATACTTTTTTGATCTGCGGCTCAAAGGACGACTCCAGAGAGCGGGTCAATCTCGACAGGGGCGCAAAGCGAGACGATTGGCAACGAAGCGAGGCAGAGATACTGGGAGAGTGCGAAAAGCACAACAAAATTAGGGGGAAGCAAAAAACAAACGAAACACAAAAGCAATAAAAAACAACAAAATGATAACCAGGGACAGGGACAGAGACAGGGACAGGGACAGGGTGGGAGGGAGAGGGAGAGAGAGAGAGATGGACAGAGAGACAGAGACAGAGGGAGAGGAAGAGTACCGATCACCACCACCTAAGTGCATGACGACCCGGGGGAGAAGGGAGGAGCGCCCCGCGAGCGCGGGGGTGGGCGGGGGGCACTCTGCCCCGCGGTCGACTTCTCTCGGCCGCGGCAGCGGGGGTCGGCGAGGGACGATCCTCCACGCCCTTTCCTCCTTACCGCCGCCCTCCCCCCCCCTCCTCCGCCGTCCCCTCCCTCCTCCTCCTCCTCCTCCTCCTCGTCCTGCACCTCCTGTTCCTCCTTGTCCTGCACCTCCTCTTCCTCCTACTCCTCCTCCTCTTCCTCCTCCTCCTCCTCCTCCTCCTCCTCCGCCTTCTCCTCCTCCTTCTCCTCCTTACCGCCGCCCTTCCCCTTCTCCTCCACATCCCTCCTCCTCCTCCTCCTCCTCCTCCTCCTCCTCCTCCTCCTCCTCCTCCTCCTCGTCCTCCTTACCGCCGCCCTTCCCCTTCTCCTCCACATTCCTCCTCCTCCTTCTGCTCACCGAGGGACGCGGGCGACAGGGCTCCCGCACAACATGCCCGCCCACTCCCTCCAGCGGTCCCAGTACGTCAACGGTCTCGCCGAGCTGCCTGCGAAAGTCAGGCCCGACCATGTTTGCGCTTCGTTGGAGGAGGAGGAGGAGGAGGAGGAGGAGGAGGAAGAGGAGGAGGAGGAGGAGGAGGAGGAGGAGGAGCGGCCCCGAATGCACCGGTCTGCGCCTGCGGCGCAACCCGCGGAGTCAAAAACCAGAGGAGGAGGAGGAGGAGGAGGAGGAGGAGGAGGAGCACCACCACCACCACCACCACCACCACCGCCACCAGTGGTAGGAAGAGGACCAGAAGGAGCAGGAGGAGGCAGAGCAGAAGGAGTTGTAGGAGGAGGAGGAGGAGGAGGAGGAGGAGGAGGAGAAGGAGGTGCAGCGGCAGCGGGGAGGGCGAGGGGCGGGAGGTCTAGCACCAGCGGTACGCGCAAGCGTGCACGTGTGAAATTCAAGCCTGCAGTATGTCGGAAAGAGACTCGAGATAAAGAGAGAGAGAGAGAGAGAAAGAGGGAGAGACAGACAGACAGACAGACAGACAGACAGACAAACAGACAAACAGACAAACAGACAGGCATGCAGGCAGGCAGACAGGCAGCCTGATCTCTTGGCCTCTGGAAAGCCTCCCGATGGCCTTCTGGGTGCCATTTTAGGGTGTGTGTTTTTTGTTTCGAGGTCTACGGACACTTTGCAGGGCCTGGCGACAGACCGAAGTACGCCCCGAGATAACCTCTGCGCATCGAGCAGGACTGCCTGATCTGATGGGATCTGATGGCCTTGAAACAGGCCTTATCGGAGGTTGCAGGACTGTCCGCCGAGTTTGGCGACCGACCGAAGAGAATCCAGGGAAACCTTGCGCCACCGCGGTAGAGCAACGCCGGTCCGTTTTGGAGCTTTATTGGACCGTCGACGGAGCAGGTCAGAATGTAATTTGTGTTGCATCGCGTTCTTTGGGCAACAATGGCAAGGGTGAAACACGTGCGAAGCATCAGAAAATGAACTGTCGCTACCCTGTTTCGAAGCATTATGTGTGTTAAAGTCATAGTCGCACGTCACGATTCCCAATTATGGTGTTGGTTTCCAACGCGTAGCATCACAATGTTGGGCACATCATAGCACAGCTGCGTAGGATAATAGTGAATCCCGTTGTATATCCTTGCACTGCATAGCAAGGCGCAGCGTCACATGGCATTGCACAGAATATCATGGCGTAGCAGCGCATAGCTTCGCATCGGGGTTTTTGGGTGTGAGATCGGGGCAAAAGGGAGAGCTCCCCACCAGGTTATTCGTTTCGGGTTCGGTGTTTGCCCCGCGTGCGGGCGAGTCGAAGCTGCGAGAGAGCGAAAGAGGCCCTGCGCCTCCCGATGGTTCCCCCCCCCCACGTGGCCGGTTCAGAATTCTTGGGCCTGTCCCGCGGTTGTTTTGTGGTTGCCGCGTGGTTGGTTCTTGTGTAATTCCCGCACGGTTTGCCGAATGGTTGTCCAGCGCAGTTATGCCGTGGTTGTCGCCCGTGCAGTTGCCCGAAGATTGCCACGTGGTTGCACGTTGTTTGTCCCACGATTTGTTTTTGGTTGTCCCGTGGTTGTCTTATGGCTACGAAGGTAGATAGTAGGATCGCTTGGCCGTGAACTACACGCCTAATTCCGCAAGTGCATAGATATGTACAAAAACGCATCGGCGGATACATATGCGTGTATTTGTACATACATACATACATACATGCATGCATGCATGCATGCATACATACATATATGTACACATACAGATACACACGTATACATGCATACATACATGCCTGTATGCATACATACATACATGCACACATGCATATACATGCACACACGCATAGATACATACATGTATACATATATACAAATATACATATATCTACATATATGTATATGTATATATATATATATATATGTGTGTACGGGGGGAGGTAGGGGCCCAGGAGGCCTGGGGAGCCCTGACTTGAGCACCCGGCCTCTAGCCCCTTCCCTGGTCAGCTCTGGGCCCTCCCTGAAACGTGAGGAGGCTTTCAAATTGCTCCCAGGCGGCCCAAGGTCGCCGATATATCGTTCCAAGACGCCCAAGATAGCCTCAAGACAGCCCACGAGGCCCCCAAGACGCCCAAAGAGGCCCCCAAGAGGATTCCCAAGAGGGCTTCAGGAGGCAAAAATAGCCCCATTCAGTTTGGAAACGTATAGTTTTAGGATGTTCGTCTCTGGAGCTTTCAGAGCATTCAAGACGGCCCGCGACGCCTCCGAGATCGCCCCAAGACAGCCCAAGAGGCTCCCTACAGGGTTCCAAGAGAGCCCCAAGAAGGCCCACGAGGCCTCCAATACAGCCCATGAAGGCCCCAGGGCGACCCCAACAGAAGGCCGACACGGGGTACCCGAACGGATATTTCCAAGCCTTCGACCCCAAAACGCCCCCAGGAGGCCCCAGGAAACCCCCAAGAAGCCCTGAAGAGGCCTCAAGAGGCCCCGCATAGGCCCCCAGGAAGCCCCGAAGAACCCCGAGAGGCCCTCGAGGGCCCCCTTCCCAGCCGTCCACCCCTTCCCTGGGGGGCTCGGGAGCGGCGCCCCCCTGCTGCGGCGTCGGGCGTGAGCCGCCCCGCCCCCGGGCCCCGAAGGCGGAGGCACCAGCGGGCACCGCTCGCGCGCACGAGAGAGCGCGGCCGCGCCGCGGGGCCCAGCCGGGGCGGGCGTTCCGGTCAGGGAGTCGCTTCAAGGAGCCGGAAGGGGAAGGAGAGTGGGCGGACCCGACCAAGAGGGTCCCCCAAGAGGCACCAAGAGGCACCCAAGAGGCACCAAGAGGCTCCAGGAGGCGCCAAGAGGCGGACCCGACCAAGAGTGCTCCAGAGGCATCCAAGGCGCCCCCAAGAGGCACCCAAGAGGCACCCAAGAGGCGCCCAGGAGCCCCCAAACGAGGCTTAAAAGAGGCCCCCCCACGAGCCCCCCCACGAGCCCCCAAGAGGAGATCCCAAGAGACCCTCATATACAACTTCGCCGAGGCTCTCCACCCTTCGCTGTCCGGTCTCTTCGATGTGTGTATTGCTATTGGTTCTCCTCCGTCTCCCGTTCGACATCCTTCTCCTTTCTCTCTTCCTCCATCCTCCCCGCTGCCTTACGTTCCTCCTAATTATCCCTCGTCTCTCCTTCACGCCTTCCTCTCTCCGCCCCCCTCGTGCGCTCCTGTCTCCCCCAACCTCCGCTGTTCGTTATCCTTGAGCTCTCCTTCGCTCTTGGTTTTCCTCCGTGTCCCGGCCCTTCCACGTCCTTCTTCTTCTTCTTCCCCGTTGCGTTTTTGTCCTTTTTCCTTCATCCTCGTTTCTCCGTCACGCCTGGCGCTTCAATATTTTAGCCCACCGAGGGATTCCCCAGAGCTCTTGGGAGGGACTCTTGGAGGCCTCTTGGGGCGATGTTGGGTGCCCTCGGGGGCCTCCAGACACAATTTGAAAAGGCAATTGCCTCAAATCCGTTTTGCTCAAGGCCGATATTACCCCTCTCCGTTCCCTCTTGTCCCAGGCGTTGGCGCGCCCCAGAGTGCGTCTCCATCTTCCACATCCTTTGTTATCAGCTATCGTTGTTCTCTCTCTCTCTCTCTCTCTCTCTTACTTTTGCGTCTCCGCCGTCTACCATGCCACATCTTTCTCCTTCCTCTCCTCCTCCCTCCTCCCCGCTGCGTCATTTTCCCGCCTCCCTCCTCCTCGGCTCTCCTTCACGCTTTCCTCTCTCCGCCTCACTCATGCGTTTCCGCCCCCCCCTTCCCTCATCCGCATCTCTCATTGAAGCTTTCCTCCCTCCGCCGCCCTCATCCAGCACCCTGCCCCACTCAGGAGCAGGACGCCCAGCTTGAAAACAAAGGGAACTCCCTCAAACCCATTTTTTCAAGGTCGACCCTTCCGCCCCCTCCTTTCCCAGGCAATTGCCCCCGAGTGCGTTTCCGTTTTGGTCTTTCCCATCCATCGTTGTCCGGTCTTGTTGATAATTATATTATTGTTGGTTTTCTTCCGTCTCCCGTTACACATCCTTCTCCTCGCTCTCCTCCCTCCCCCCCGCTGCGTCATTTTCTCTCCTACCTACCTCCTCCTCCTCCTCCTCCTCCTCCTCCTCCTCCTCCTCCTCCTCCTCCTCCTCCTCCTCCTCCTCCTCCTCCTCCTACTCCGCCTTCTCCTCCTCCTCCTCCTCCTCCTCCTCCTCCTCCTCCTCATCATCATCATCATCATCATCTCTCCTTCACGCTTCCTCGCTTCTCCTCCCTCCAGGACGGCCCAAGAGGTCCACATGGACAGCACCAAGACAGCCCAAGAGTTCCCCGCGACGCCCCGAGTGCGGCCCAAGAGAGCGCCAAGACGGCCCGAGAGGCCGCCAAGACGGCCCCAGAGGCCCTCCGGACGGCCCCAAGACAGGGGCACGAGCAGGGATCCAGACCCGACGTTTCGAGCCCAGGACGCCCAGAGCTTCGGGAAGGCCCCCGACGAAAATTGGAGAGGCCCCCATCCCCCAGAAAGCCCCAGGAGCCCTCCACGAGCGCCCCCCAAAGGTATCCGAAGAGAGTCCCAGCATGGTTCTGCCAAGCTCTTAAGGGGCTCTCGGGCATCCCCCCATGAAGCTGCCGCGGGTCCTCCTCGTGGCGGGCTTGCGCGACTTCCTGGAGCCTCATTCAGCGACTCCTGAAGCGTCCATCCGGAAGCATGCTCCCATCATATGGTGGTTCTTGCGGAACGATGTCCATCATCATCCGATCTTGTGAGGTTTGCTTGGACTGCGCTAGAAAGTAAGCGCGTTCGAAGCGAGCACGCGCGTGCTTCGAGCATATATATATATATATATGTACATACACATAGACATGCATATGAACACATGTTCCTATGAATACAAATATACACACATACACATGCATATACATATATGTATGTATATATGTATATGTATATATACATATACATATGTATGTGTATATACATACACCTGTACAAATATCTATGGATGTTTACATGTGTACACATGTGCATATACATATACACATGTACATATATACATGTGTGCATATATACATGTACACATAAAGACCTATAGACATATTACATACATGCAGGTGCATATCAACAAATTCAGAAAGAGGTTACACACACATCTTCGCGTATGTGCAGTTGCACTCGCTGTACACATTCGACGCGTAGCTAACCACGAATCGATGCCTCCAGCCTTCTCATCATCCGAAAGGTGGTCGTCGCAGTAGTTCTTCAGAGCTCCTACCCAAAAAAAAAAAAAAAAATGGCATAGCCAAGTCTGTAGTGACATAGTCGCGCATGGAACGTCACACCACAGCAGTATGTTGTAGCATTGCATGCCGTAGTACAGGTATTATATATATGTGTGTATTCATGGCATTGAATTGCGCAGTGCGGCGTAGCACAGCATATTTGCTCATTGCATTGCGAAGCATTGCATAGCACAGCATGGCATGCCATTGCATTGCACATCATATCATGGCAGTTGCAAAGTGCATGGAACGGCATAGCTCAGCACTGGAAGTCACCCCAAAATAGAGCAGCGCATAGCATGACAAGGCATCGCGTCCCGGGCGAACCCGATGCTCCAACCCAAAGGGCCCAAACAACCCCACGCGCACCTAGCAAGGTGCTGGGCGCCCTGAGCGACTAGGAGGACCCGAGGCCCGCACGTCATGGCCACGAGCCCCTCTGCACAGAACAGGCGGGGACCCCTGAGGCGAAGCCCAAGTGTGGAAAACACCCTGGAGGGGGGAGGCAAAAACCAGTTCCATCCCAAGCGGCTTATGGGCCGTAGGCAGGTCGTGTAGGTATGTCGTCGTGCGGCAGGCCCGGGGCTTGACAGCATCCTGTCAAGCCGCCCCCATCAGGAAACTAAATGTCGTACATATTGTTGCGAGTGAATCACGTTCGAATTGTTGATTTAGGAATCGCGCTCTCGCTTCAGATTTCCTAGCAGAGTACCGAGGCGTCTCGCTCTCAATCTGGGACTTCCTGACAAGTTAGGCGCTGCGCTTCTGGGACTTCCTGACAAGTTAGGCGCTGCGCTTTCGACGCCCAGAGATCACGCTCTCGGGATTCGCTCTCTCGCCGAAGGCTTCTAGTTTACGAAGCTCGCTTCAATACCCCGCCCGACCCGCTGGATGGCCCGCCCGCCCGACCCGCCCGCTAGGGGCCGCCCACCCGACCTGCCCGCCAGGGTCCGCCCGCTCACCTACTCGGAAGCCCGCCGGGCAGCTCCAATGCTCCGCCCCAGCCGCCCGTGGGGGTCCGCCTGCAGATGCCGTCCGTGAGAGGCCGTCCGCCCGGCGCGCCCGTGAGGGCCCGCCCGCCCGGCCTGCCCAGCAGGGTCCGCCCGCCCGCTTGCTTGGAAGCCCGTCCGCTCGTGAAGGTCCGCCAAGCCCGCCCGTCAGGGCCCACAAGCTTTTGTTTCCTTCCTTCAGGAGTGAAACAAACACACAGACACAATCAATCGTCGATTCCCCAGAAAATGGAAAATATGCGAAGTGGGGGGGAAGACAGAAAATATGGGAAAATATGCGGAATCCTTGTATTTGTGTGTATTTGTTTGTGTGTCCCAGGGCCCTTTTCATTCCTATCCGTCTAAAAACTTCGCGTCCTCGATCCTCCTCGTTCCCTCCTGCCCCCTCTGTGCTCGTCTCCTTCCCCTGTCCTCGCCATCCATGCTTTTATGTGTGTCTCTCCTCTTCCGAGGTTGGGGGCCGCGCCAAGCACACGAGGCAGGCAAGGAAGAGGTACCCCCAACAAGGGGTATGATCGAAGACAATCAGGGCGGGTATCGAGAGATTGGGGATATACATGCTGAACGACACGCGAACAGCGAATAGCCAAAAGTATTAAGTTGATTGATCTTTGTTGATGTTGTCGTTGCTGTTGACGTCGGGCGGCGGGCCAGGTGCTGTGACTTCATGGTGGCGACGGGGTGGTGACGGGGTGTCGTGTCCGTTGGGGTGTCTTGGTCTCGCGTTATCTTTGCATCACGGTTAGCGTCGTAACTCCGTGGTGTTACCTAGTCGTGATGTCACACTGCCGAGGTATGATTGCGTTGCCGTGTCGTGGTGTCGTGGCGTCGTCGAAGCTATACGGCGTTGCGCAGTGTCTTTGTGTTGCGAGGTCGCCACGAAGGCTGAAACCAAAAATTTGAAGCCAGGCAGCGAGAAGCGATTGGATGTCATCGTGTGATGTGGATGGCGTGCCCACCCTCGCGAAAGTCACAGCCAAAGCAAGAGCCCAAGGGATAATCACAGCTAAAACCTCAAGGTGCAACAGAAGCGATGGCACGACCTAAAGCTCACCGCACAGCTGATGGTGGCACAACGAGTGCGAACGAAATCTGAAGTCAATGCAACACACGCGTGAAAATCGAGAGACGTGCGTCAGGTCTTTATTCCAGTACTAAGCGCTTGCCCGAGGCCGGTCGCATGCGCATGGTATTATTTTGTCAAGCACCTCTCGCTTTGTGTCGATATCGGATCCGACCTTGCTCACGACCGGTATTGATCCCTACTGCTCAATTGCGAGAGCTCTAGAATGCCACCTGTGGTGGTGATGGATTCTAATGCTTGCTCCAGTTTCGTCTGTGTCGTCGACAGTCACATCATGTTGTGCAGGATGATGTGTTTGCGTTTGTCTCTCACTTAGGAGTGCTTGCCCGGGACAGCCAGTATGAATGTACACAGGGTGTTCAGTTTGTGACCTGGAACATGGTACTACATCAATGCTCAATATGGGATGAGCTGGCTTTCAACATGTGGGAGCGTCCCCAGGCGAGCTGCAATCACGAAGACTTAAAGCCCGCCCGACCTTCCTTTACGACTTTTGGGCGACGATTTGTTGTGTCAGGAGAAGTCGACCCCCTGTTGCAATAGCAAATGATATCTGAATGTGAACTGTTCCTCGCGCCAGGCAGCCCCTCTTTGCAGCGACAGCGCAGATGGTGGCCACCCATTACAGGCCCGCTTCCCTCCGGGTTGTCCTGCTACCTGTATTTCCGATTAAGTTCGGTGTGTGCTCCACGTTGCTGGTTCGGCGTTTCAGCAAAGTCGATTGAACAGAACCCGTGATACCCGAGTAGAGGCTCGCATTATTGTATTCATGGGGGGAGGACGAGAGGGAGCGACGGCGTTGCCGTGCCTGCAAAAGCTGCGCATACAGTGTAAGGCAAAGTCGTGCGATGTTTGTTATGCCTCCTCGTTTCCTTCTTCATCCTCCCTCTTCTCCCACCTCCTCCCCCTCTGCATCACCCTCATCGCTTACTACCGTGACCGGAGGTTATACAACCTGGAGGCTGGCCTCAGTTCTAGGACAATGTCATTCCAGAAAGAATGCGAACGCCAGTGATGCAGGATTCTTTCAGATTGACACAGTCACCCAGATGTCAAAACGAGTAGGCGATGCTTGGTTGTTTCCCCCTCATGTATTGGGCCTTCACTGGAACAGAAAAGTTGATTATCCTCTTCTTCCACCCTTCCCGCCTCCTCTTCTCATCATCATCATCATCATCATCATCATCATCATCATCATCATCATCATCATCATCATCAGCAGCAGCAGCAGCAGCAGCATCAGCATCAGCATCAGCATCATCATCCTCTCCTTCCACCTTCCCCGCCTCCTCTCATCCTCCTCCGTGTCCCTGGGTGTTGCGACTGCTGGCTATTTGCTGCTTCCCGTGGGGTGTTCTACGGAACGCGGTCTGACGGGGACCCAAATCCGACCTGATTGTGCCTGGGTGTTGCAGGGTGTGCAGCTTTTTCCGATTTGCTACGCCCGTGGGGGGATCCAACGGAGTGCGGTCTTACGGGGACCCCAATGACCAAATCAGACAGTGCCGTCCCTAGGTGTTGCAAAGCGTACAAGTGTCGCCACGTTGATGTGCCCGTGGTGCTCCAGCGGAGCGCGGTCTTACAGGGACAAACGAGTACATAGCCGTGTATGGGTGTTGCCAGGCTTGCAGGTGTCGCCATTTCGTTGCGCTTGTGGGGGGGTCACAGAAGGCGGCCTTACAGCGACCCGAGAGACCTCGCCGTGCTTGCGTGTTGCCAGACGGGCAAGTGTCGCCACGTTGTTGCGCCCGTGGGGGGTCCATGGAAGCGCGGCCTTTCAAGGATCCAATTGGGAGGCCTCGTCGTAGCTGGGTGCTGCCAGTCGGGCATCCGAGCGCAACCTCACGGAGATGAGAACTCGCCGTGCTCTGGGTGCTGCCAGGCGGACAACTGTCGCCACTGTGCTGCGCCCGTGAGGGCCCTGCCAGGGTGAAATCGTGCCGGGGCCCGAAGGAGACCTCGCCGTGCCTGGGTGTTGCCAGGCATGCATTTGTCGTCACGCTCCTGCGCTCATAGGGGGTGCCCAGCTGAGTGAGCTCTTACGGGGATCCGAGTGAGACCTCGCCGCTGCTAGCTGCTACGAGGCGTGCAACTATCGCTACGTTGCAGTGCAAGTCAGGGTCAAGCGGAGCGAGGTCTTGCGAGGGCCCAGCTGAGACGACACTGACACTTGGTGAGAAAGGGCACGTTCTGTGATCGCTTGGGTGAGGCGAAGTTTCAAACCGCGCCACAACACACACACACACACACACACACACACACACACACACACACGCACACACACACACACAAAAAACACACACACACAAAAACACACACACACACACACACACACACACACACACGCACACGCACACGCACACACACACGCACACGCACACGCACACGCACACGCACACGCTCTTCTGGGTGTCGCGGCCAGGCGCACCGCCTTGGTGTCCAGCGCGTGCGCGGAGAGCCGCGCGCGCACCGCCTTGGTGTCCAGCGTCGGCGAGAAGAGGCAGGCAAGCGAAGAACAAATAAGAGTCGGTGGGCGGTGGCCGAGAGCGGGCAGGCGCCGGCGCGGCGGCCGGCGGAGCGGGGGCGGCGGCCGCGGCGCGGATGCCGGGCAGCGTGGCGGGGCGAGGCAGGGGCAGGGGCAGCGGGGGCCGCCTATCAACGGCAGCGGGGCGGCGGGAGCCACCGAGCTGGCGGCAGAGGAGAAGGCCAGGCCGCGCCCAGAGCTCGGCGCGCGAGGCAGCGGCCGGGCGGCCAGGCAGCGGGCGGCCGCGCCAGAGGTCGGCGGGCGAGCGGCGCCCGAAGGCAGCGAGGCGGAGAGGGAGGGGGCGGCCGCGGGGCACCGAGGCCAGCGGACCTGGCCGTGGGGCGGAGCGGGGCCGGGGCGAAGGCAGGGGCGCGAGTGTTGCTGCGAGGCGATCACCGCCGAGGGTCACCCCCGGGGGGTCGAGCCAGGGCAAGGGGCGCGGGGCGGCAAAGGCGGCCGAGCGCTGCAGCAGCATGGAGCGCCGAACGGAGACGCGGGCGGGCCGCTCCGGGCCCGCAGGGCCGCGGGTGCTGGGGCGAGGTGCGCACCCGGAGAGTCATCCCCGGAGATCGAGCCAAGCCAGGGGGCGACCGAACCTCTCAGGTCGAGCACCGACGGGATGAGCCTAGCTGGGAGCACGGGCGCCGCCAGGGCGAGAGAGCTGGAGAGGGCAGGGCGGGGGAGGGCCCAGCGGCGCGCGGCTGCGCCGCGCGGGAGGGCGGCGAGCTCGCGGGCGGCGAGGTGGGTCGCAAGAGGAGGGAGGCGCGATGCTCGCGGCACGAGCGGCAGCGGGCGACCTCCCAATGGGCGGCGGCGCGGCGAGGGCCGGCGACTCTTCAGGGAGGGCGGGGGGCCACCCAGAGGCGGGGGGGGGGGGCCAGGCGCCGTCCACCGGGTCGCCGAAGACGACTGCGACGATGGCGCCGGGGAAAGACTGGCCACTGCGAAGGAGGCACCGGCGGCGGGAGGCGCCGACACGCGGGGCGGGGGAGGCCATGGCCCCGAGAAGCGGAGCCTCGGATCCTGCCAGCGACCTGGCGACGGACGCAGTCGGGGCACGAGGGAGGGGGGAGATGCCAGGCATGCTCGGGGGGTGTGCCAGAATGGGGGGTGGAACCGCATGCGGGCGCAGCCACTGGGGCCTTCGGTGGGGCTCCCTATGGGGCCACGAAGCGTGTGAGCGGGCGGTCGCGAGAATCGACCGCGCGGGGGGCGAGGCGGCGGCGGATCAGGGCGGCGGCGCATGTCGGGCTGGTGGCGGGGGAGCTGAGCCCGACGCCGCACTTGTAGGAGATCTGATGTAGGAAGCTGGCGACGAAAGCAGCGCGTTCGCCGGGCGCGGCGAGGGCATCACGAACACTGTCGGGGGCCCCGGGAGGCTTTGCAAGCTCCCAGGCAAGGGCGACTGCGAGGCACCAACTCCAGAGATGCCCGGCGCCCGCCCCGCCCAGGCCGCAGGGGGGGGCAGCGGCCGAACGGCGAGGGAGGGTCCGGGATGACGCCGGGGAGGGCCCCGCGAGCCCGGAGAACGCCGGCGGCGATCCTCTCGAGCCGCGGCGGGACGTGCCCCTGCCCAACAGGCGGGGCTCGTCGGCCCAGGTTTTTGTAGCAGGAGCGGCGCCATGAGGCGCCGGGGCTGCCGGGCCTGGGGGCAGGCCAGGCGCGGGCGGTGCCAGCGCGGCCATGGAGAGCAGGCGCGAGGCCCGCGGTCGGCGGAGGGGCGCAGCTTGGCGCGCCCGGGGCAGCGCGTTCGCGCGGAGCCGGAGCAGGCAGGCGGCGCTGGCGCGAGAGGCCGCCGCGCGCAGAGGGGGGCGAGGGGAGGGGGCAAGGCGTCTTAGAGCCACCGCCGCTTCTGAGGAGGCGCGGGCCTCGTCTACAGAGGTGCGAGGCCCGCGCCGTTCGAGAGGCAGCCTCCCCAAGGAGCCTCCCCAGCTGCCCCCCGTGTGCGCGCCGCCAGAAGAGGGGCAGAAACGGCGAGGGTGCCCCACTCTCTGCCGTCGGCACCACGCGGCGGCTGCCGTTGCCCGCGCGTCCGCGTCCAAAGGGCGCTGCTCGGGGGGGGGCAGGGGCGCCGGTGATCGCCTGAATGATACGGGCGGCCTCGGCGGGATGTGAGGCGCGAGCGCCCGGTCGAGGAGCGGGCCGGCGGTGGCCGACGCCCGATGCCCAGTCCAGAGCCTCACCCCATAGTTGGCGAGCCCGCTCGCCACGGGGGGCGGGCCCCCCGTCGATGCCCCCGGCGCGGGCCGCGGCAGCGATGGACCACGTCAGAATCATAGGGCACCTAGGAGCGCCGGGCACCTGGCAAGCGGGGCCGAGGCCGGCAGCAACGCGCAGAGGGAGCCCGCGCGCACGGTCAAGGTTCCCGCCACGAGGGGCAGCGGGCGCAGAGGGAGCGCGGGAAACGCATCCGGCGCCGAGGCAGGGCCGCGCGTCCTTGACCGCGCCTGCGCCGAGAGGAGAGAGCGCCACGAGCTGCTTCCACCAGCTGAGTTGGCGGCCGGGGCCAGGGCAGACTTGAGGTCGCATCGGCACTGGTTCTCGAAGACACGCGCCGCTTCGCACACCCCCGCGGGAAGCCTGGGCCCCGACAGCCGGCGGGCAAGTTCGGAGACGAGGCCGGCGACGGTTGCGCCCCCGCTGGGGGCGCCGGAGACAGTCAGGGGGAGGCCCGCGAAGGCGGCGCGTCGGTCTGAACAAGCTCCATCGAAAATGACGCCCGCGCAGGATAGCGAGGCCCAGGGGAGCACCAAGGAGACCTTGAGGTCCTGCGCCGCGTCGATGAGCAAAGCGGCGAGGTCGCCCACGTGAGTGGGACACGGGGCGCCACTGGCAGAAGCGACGGCGTCGATGCACATCAGATTGTTGAAGGTGTGTACTTTCGGATCCCAGATCCCAGTCTACTTCAAGCGCCTTTTCATCTCAAGAGGTGATCGTTTCACATATTTTTGGCGGGCGGTCGCAAGCCGAATGTACTTCTTAGTTTGTTTGCCCCATCTCTAGATGATTGTTGTTTATCGTAGTTTGCGAATGTCCGTTGGTTGCGCCTTCTCTGGTTGCTCGGCCCATTGGCTGCCCCTTGCATGGCTATTTTGGGTTGTTTG